TGAGCAAAGTATCACTCTCAGGCTTGCTTTGTGAATACTTGGTGGTCCGAGAGTATCCTTCGCAGCGACCAAATAACGTCGGGATGAGCTGTGGCAAGAAGACTGCTACAAGGCGAGTAAAGTTGGTTGACTGAGAGTATTGAAAAGTAGCGAGTAACGTAATGCCACACGTTACCCAGAAATACTGTCGTAGGTACGTTGCCAGTTTCGATTCTGAAATAGTAACGAGTGCAATACTAAGTTACAGAAAAAACCAACGTGCTACCTGCCACGCCTTTACTTGTAACGCGTTACCGCCAACGCTGCTAATCATCTCTTGCCTTTTCGTTTCGTCTCAATTGTGTGAAGAATACCAGGTTAGGGTATAGCATGCCTACCTCTCTGCTTGTCGTTAGCAGCGAGAAAGAGACACTAACATTGATTGTAGTCTACAGCTATTAACCTATAGCTTTCACTTGGCGTGTGTACTTGAACGCAGGGTGATAATTGTTTTATACCCAATGCGTTTCCCTAACACAAAAACAGCCTGCACATGTGCATAACAACAAAGAGGCAATAGAGCAATTGTCTCGCCATATAATTTCGTTGACACCAGTAAGCTTTAGAAACCCGAGCAGCGCTTCTTTATTAGGGACGAAGCTCCTTATGGCGTGGCTTGTGCGTCCCTCGTAGTACGAAACCGCCAGTGGCACATACCCGAAATAGCGGTCCTTACGATTTTGACCTCCAAGGTGGTTTCGGTGAGAGATTTCTTCTGTGCGTTGTTGAACAATAAAAGATAGTGCTCAATGTCCATGTTAATGGCTGCTAAGGAGGAATGAGAGACAGGAGCATTCGGCCTTTAGGTAACGCGCACGCTGCGATCCCCATTAGCAGCTATTGGCATGTACATTGAGCACGATCTGACAAGAAAGGGTTGCTACGTTATACTCGCTGGGTGTAACCTCCTTGGTTTTAGAAATGTTTAGCGAGCGTTGGGCCGCATAGCCATGAATACAGTGAACTAGTATATACCATGAACTCGAGGTGGTTAAAGGTGGGAAGTAAACCCGAAGCGCAAGCCGTAAGAAAGTGTGCATGTGCCACCTCCCATTTAGTCCTTGAAATGTCCGCTGGATGGCGGTGCTTCTATATGGAGAATATATGATGAAAAGATTCGAGATGGTGGTACTTGGAGTGCTGAATAGATGGACGAACGGACACACAGACAGATGCATGGATGGACGCATGAACGGACGCAGGCGCGGATGCATGGACGAACGCAGGGACGGACGCACGAACAGACGCACGCACGGACGGGTGGATGGACGCATGGACGGTTACACAGACGTACGCAGGAACGGACAGAAGCAAGAACGAATGGACGGACGAATGCTTCACACCACTCCCCATCATTCACTCTGTGGATATGCTGCCATTTTTTTTCCTTTCCTTCTCCCTCCACGGCCGGTTTTCCCGTTCCTTGTTGCACTGTAATGCGTTCGCAGCACTTTACAGCGGGTAGAGAATGTGCCGCAGCTTAAATTCGGTCCAAAGAAATCGCTCATACAATGGTGACAGTGCACTGAATATATATGATCTCTGAGATTTCGGGAACGTTGTTCTTGGGATTCATTACCTACGTAATACCACTGAATCTCCTATCTAAAAGAGTTCTTCTATGTCACAGTGATTCTGAGTTGAAGAAGGCACGCCCTGCCGCGGTGGTCTAGTGGCTAAGGTACTCGGCCACTGACCTGCAGGTCACGAGATTGAATCCTAGCTGCAGCGGCTGCATTTCCGATAGAGGCAAAAATGCTGTAGGGCCATGTGCTCAGATATATACGGGCGCACATTAAAGAACCCCAGGTGGTCGAAATTTTCGGAGCCCTCCACTACTATCATAAATAAATGTTTTTCACCACCACCACCAACGGCACCTCTCATAATCGTATGGTAGTTTTGGGACGTTAAATCCCACATATCAATCAGCAATGCATGAAGGCATACTCGACGTGCGCCGATTCGGGCTCACGGACTGTAGAACATCACTGGCCTAAGCGATTGAAAAATTGCTTTCCGTCGTCTAGCCTATGACAAATTTATCTAAAATAAAAGCGCGTGCGTGCTTGTGTGTGTGTGCGCGTGTGTATGTGTGTTTGTGTGTGTGTGTGTGTTTGTGTATGTATGTGTGTTTGTGTGTGTGTGTGTGTTGGGTGCGTGCGCATAGCCTTTCTACTCGACCTTGTTTTCGGGACTGCCGACGTTCAACTGCTTACAGTATTTATTCTCTTAGCATGCGCCCACTGTCACTTGAGTTAATTGATAGTCACAGAAATCATCATTTCGCTACATCATGCTTTCAATGTATTTTCGACTTCAGGTGGTGGTTTAGCGACTGTGCTCCGAGGTCACGAACTCCATTCCTGGCCGTATACAGATTAGCGCCCACTAGGGAGGTAAAATTAATTCAGCATCCTCCCCTACTGCCCGTTATATATAGAGCATATGCGTTGTTTTGTGATTATAGGTATCATAGTTTGATGTGATCATTATATTTAGTGTAACTTGATCGCTACGGCTGAAGTAGTGAACTACAAATGAAGTAGTAGCGGATGGCTGACACGTAGAGGCAGTCGTATGAATTGAAGAGAACAAGCCACGTCCATTTGCGTGTTTTCCTTTTTCTTATACTGGATGTCGTTTGATATGAGTCAAACAAAGATATAGCCCCAACTGGTTACTTCTATAAGAATATCCAGTTGTAGTTCGTCGGTATCAAAAATCATTGTTAATTTTCAGTCACTCGTGGAAGCTGATCCAAGTAATACCAATGATGCTGCGAATAAAAGGCAAAAACAAAAACATACATTACGGCAAGCCATCGAACAGTGGAGGCCGCGTTTTAGGGGGTGGTCCGGGTGGGCATTTTGTTTCTTGCGTGAACAATCGGTCCCTTGGAGGTCCGGAAGGCGGTCTCGAACGTCGGCCGCCCATGCACGCGGACGCGAGAGTGACCCAGGAGAAGAACATTAGGGCGAAAGTTCTCGGCTAAGCGTCTTTGCGATTGAAAAGTGCCTGGCATCCGATTGAGGCTGTGACTTGCCGGTCACTAGCCCGTTGAATCGTTCTCATGCAGGAAGTGGTTTAACGGGAGTTCCACGCAGCGCGTGAGGCTCATAATGACCGTAGACGAGCCACAAGCCTGCGTTATGTTTTGTTTGCTCGTGCGACCCCCCTTTCTACTTCCCGCCCCCACTTCCTCCAAGCAGTCATCTCGTCTTCTGTATAAAAAGGTGCTGAGTCCGGTCACAAGTCAGCAGTCGTCTGCTTCGGAAGCCATGCAAGCATCGGTGAGTAGGCTGGGAGCCAGATGTCGGAGTGGCGGATTTACGTTGTGGGCGTCAAGGGCCGAACCACCGGATACGAAAACGCACGTGTTCCTCCTTGAAATTTCATAAAGATTGCTACATACTTGCTGACTACAATGTGGCTGTTAGCTGATATATTATCTCATTGACAGTTATTGAGCTCACTTGAATGTATGAATACGTTAAGAACAGATGCACAGAGTGTATGTAAGAAAATGGTTTACCGAGATGCGTGAGTTATGCCCGAGAGCTTCATATATATAATTGCCAACTTTCTCAGGCGCTACACCTGGCAGCTTAAGTGACAGCTTGCGCTTTGTGACCTCACTGATGTAGGTTGTCACTTATGTTAGCCTTTGGCAACTGCCTCTTAGTTAATATAGATAACTCCCCGAAGTGTTGTGCATTGTTGGTAACGCTTGTCTTGAGAATTACTTTAAACACAATAAGTTTGTATAAGTTTGTAGGCCGTTTTTACTAGCGATCCGTATTAATACCGCCATCGCATGACAATTACGCAATCCAACGACGTTATACAAAGCAGATGAAAAAAAAAACAATGTTGCACATAACGTGCTTATAAGTCATAGATTAATGATTTATTTGGAAGACATATAGGTTTCCTCAATGAGTAAGTAACAGCGGCACTGCCTTGCATGACATCTTTCACCGATTGCATGCTAGACAAGAAAGCTCCAATTATACAACCTTTTTATGCCCCAATGCGTGCGCCATAAGAATAGTAGTAACACTCAGCTTACATCTATTATTTCTATCTATATGCCTGTTAAAAGTCAGTTCGAGTTTAATAATATAATTTTTTAAATGCATAAAAAGTCTACATTTCAATGTAGTCTTGCTCTGGGGTTTGCAAGCAATACCTGAGGAAAGTAGGGAAGGGAAAAATAGGTATATCAAACGAGCGATGCTATTGGCTGCAAAAATTCTGCATTTGTCGCAGTAGCTCGAACACGAAAGTGAAGAGAGACAACCTAAATAGAAGTTTCTGCTTTGCTTCTCCAACAGGGGAACCTAAAGGTAAGATGCATATGTTTTGAACAAGAGGAATAACTTCAAATGAACAAACAACCTTGCGAACGATGCCAGCACTGATAGCGTGGGAACCGGGAAAGTACCTGATCGAAACACATTATCTCGAAATAATCATGTGGAATCAACTCCCCTAGCGTCGCTGTCGAAAACTTCGTAGGTTGTAGTGATCTTTGTTCGAGCTGCTGCAAATGTACGAGCTTAATTCTATAACGCGAAAATTCGTGCAAGCCATCGACTGAGCTCTATTCGTGGAGTGGTCAGAAATGAAAGGTTTGACCCTGTTTTTGTGGATAACGCATAATGTGACAGGAGACTGACTGCATGCGAGTAAATGTGGAGGCAAACATTGAAAGGAATATGACAAAGTTACTGCTGTGCTACGCTACTTAAGCGTTTACCTCACGTCCTGCCGTGTCTTTATGAAATAGCGGTGTATAAGCGTTGGAGCACACATTCTTCCTTCCGCTAGGTTGAATGGAAAGTTTACTATGCTCTAAAAGCTATTGCTACCGTGTTATACAATATTCCGTAGCTCACCGTAGCATAAGTGGCAGGCGCCACACGCACGACATTACGGTCGTTTTTTTTTCGTTCCAGGTCCTCGTCTTCTTCGTCGTAGTGACGATCGCCTCCGCGGGAATTCTGGACGACGGGGGTGATGATTACGGCGGAGGTGGTGGCGGCGGAGGCTTCGGTGGTGGAGGAGGCTTCGGCGGCGGTGGCGGTGGAGATGACATCGGCGTAGCATCAGTTTCGTACGTCAAGACGCCAGTTGTGAGCGTAAAGTACGTCGCTAAGCCTGTGGTCAGTTACGTGGCTAAGCCAGTGGCCACCGTGTCGCATGCCATCAAGCCCGTAGTTACGTACACGACCATTTCGAGCGGCGGCGGAGGCTTCGGCGGAGGCTTCGGCGGAGGCGGCGGTGGCTTCGGCGGTGGAGGTGGTGGCGGATACGGAGGCGGTGGTGGTGGCGGCCACGGAGGATGGTGGCCATGAGTGCGGCCTCCTCTACGCTGGCCCTGTGCAGCCACGCATGTCCATCTTGTGACCGCGATATCACGAACTGTGCAACAGCCTTCAACAGCCACCCCATCAAGGCAGTGAAGTTGCTTGATTGGCTTCATGTGCATCAGGACGCGAGCACGCGTTAAAATGTCAAAATACCAAAGAAGTCAGAAATAAATGGCTGGCTGTATAATAATTCACTGTGCTTTCTTATGTTATTGTCTGAATGTTTGTGAACATGGCCATGTGAGCGTCTTATAGCGGTTCTCGAAAGTAGTACGTAAGCTACAAATGTTGAGCTCGTCAACGCACTAAGTTCGAACGTGTAAGAACTGCAATTAAAACGTGCATCTGACAAGAATGCACACAATCTTTCGCACACTGCTGGACGTGCTTATTTCAAGGGGTTCTGAATCACTTTTCCCAGTAATCATTGATTGACCTCGTTATCAGGGTTTATTGCCTCACGAATCATGGAAAGTTCTCTAATCCGCCATGAAAGAGCATAGTTATTGAAATTTTTGGCACACATCAAGCCCCATTCTCTCCAATTTTGTCCCAAAGAGCACGCCGCAGCTACACAGGAAGGGATGACATGGAAGAAAGAAACTACACATGAGCACGCGTCATTAACCGCGGTCGCTCTCTTCCCGTGTGAATCTGATATGTGTAAGTGCTGCTGTGTAACTTCAAATAATAATAATAATAATAATAATAATAATAATAATAATAATAATAATAATAATAATAATAATAATAATAATAATAATAATAATAATAATAATAATAATAATAATAATAATAATAATAATAATAATAATAATAATAATAATAATAATAATATAATAATAATAATAAAATAATAATAATAATAATATCTGTGCTTTATGTACCAAAGCCATGATACAATTATTAGGCACGCCGAAGTAGAAGGGTCCAGAAATTTCGATCTTCAGGTGTTCTTAGCGTGCATTGACATCGCACAGTACACGTGCCTCTAGCATTCGACTCTGTCAAAATGCGACCACACAGCCGGGATCGAACCCTCGACCTTCCGGTCAGCCCCCGAGCCCCGTAGACACTACAGCGCCAAGGCTGGCGAAAAGACATTGTATAATAAAAAGTAAAAAAAAAATGGTATAACGAGAAAATGAAACCTGTCTTAAAAGAGGTAGTTGAGCGCTTATTGTGCATTGTTTCACCACAAGGGGAAGAAATGAATGATATATCGAGAAATTGTAATGTGATGCGAAAAATGGTGGGCCACTCGAAACTTGCTTCTCAAACAGAGAGGATGCACGAAAAGACCGTATACAGCAGACGAACGCGAATTATCTGCTACAGCTTGACGCTTGAAGCGCTCTGCTCAAATGCAAAGAAGGACGCACAGAACGAACCCACAAGTGTACACAGGATGAGCGTGAACTAACAACTATCAGGATTGCTACTTGTGTCACACACAAAATGCGTGTGAGCAGCGCACTGATCTGCGAGCATGACCGCTGCAGCGAGTGAAGTGACATTAATCAACGCCTCCTCTATTTTATCAATGCCAGCCAGATGCGCCTGATCCAGCTGTTCACCACCTTCTCCTTTAGTCCATTTCCGCTCTCTCCCATCACCTAGTCTTCGGGTGTGCTTTGCGGTCTTGCAATGGGTGAGAGTAGCCCCTCATGACGGAAGCCATATGAAGTAATTTTTTGTTCAGCTGTGCACAGATCCATAGGGCGGTGTTCCTCGTGTTCACAATATTGGCAGTCACGCTGGCTCTGTGAAATATACGGTATTTTGAGATAGCGTGTCGCCATTGGTGGTGCTATGCGGGCCGCCAGTAGGGAAGTGCCACTGCAACGTTTTTGCATGCGCTGCTCTATGACGCGGAGGTGGCATTGTCTCGAGCCACAAATAAGCAGCATGAAGGAGCGAATCTGACAGACGCATGATATTGGTGTGCAAAACAAGTTCATCGCACTTTCGGGGGAAAGCGCTTGGATGCACGTGTGACGCGAGCCGTGCGACCCCGCATATAGCGCCGCAACATGATCTCTCCCTCAATTAAGGCGGACTGACGGCTCCGGTTGAGAAGCGCGTGTTTGCACTGGTACTGAAATAAAAAATCCGTCGCAGGAGCCACCGGTGCACCTTAGTTCAGAAAACAGTCGTGCTGCGACGCTGCATGAGGGGTCGCGCTGCCAATTAAACCGGGAAAAGCAGACACAAACCCAAGAGCTGGCGGGATGAGGAAGTTAAGGGAGCCATAGTAAGATGCCAAGAAGCCTCCAGGGAACACAGGTATGCTAAACAGAGGAGTGAAAAGAAGATGATGTCAAAAGAAAATGGTATAACTTGTTAAGCTGCAGAAGGGAAGCGTCCGATTTGATCAGTGAAAAGATTAGAAGAAAGGGGGCCCAATGGATGACGGAAGTAAACAAAAAAAAAGATAGAAAGGCAGCTGCAAAGTTTTGGAACCATCTCAATTCTCTGATTAATAGGACATGCATGAAAAAGAGTTTTATAACTACAGTTCAAGGGGTCAGACTAGAAGGGGTTGAGGCAATAAAATATATAAAAACAATGATGACAGAAAAACTTAAACACCAAGAAAGGGCTGCATGCTGTTGCGCGTCGCAAGGAAGGTCACTGATGGCATCCCACCGCTGCCACCAGTTGTTGCGCGTCGGGGCGACCGCTGTCTGCGGGTAGCGGGGCCGGTCGCCATCGCTCCGTCGAGCCAAGGACTAGGGGAGAGCTTTGAGCAAACTTAACGGATTTATTTACATCTTTACAGTGAGTTGTCAAGATGACAGAAGAGACTAGAAGAGCGTTGGGCGAGGCACTGCACGCCCTTTTTGTTGACCCCCGTTCCCTAGGTCCCTAGGTTGGGGAGCACTACACAAAACAATGCGGACCAATGGTGATGGGGCAGTTCCTCTCAATGAAGTACCGCCCATCATGTCTGTTCATAGAGGCACAACACAGGCTTGTACATACACACACACCCTTGCCACTAGTCGCAGCGCTGCCGTAGAACAGGGAGGGGGAGAGCAGAAGACGCACGGGCGCCTCGACCCCTTTGGTGCCGGCCTCGGGCTGCGTTCCCACGAGAAGATCTTAGCGCGCCCTTTCGAGAGGTGCCAGGCTCGTGGAATCCTCTGGGGAGAGCCCTTTGACCAGCACCGTCGTCGTCTGCCGGTTAACGCGCTAACGATGCGTGGCCCAGGCGGGAGATAGAGCGGTGGCTCCAAAACCCTCTTTGGTAACATTCCACACAGTTGGCGCCGCTGTCAATCAATGGGCGCCGTCTCGTGGAGTCGGCCTCTGTTGCTTCCTCCATCCAGCCGTGGCGAGACTGTCCTTTTGGCACTAATCCGGCGTGGCGAATGACCCGCTGGGTCAAGGCATAGCTTGATCGCTACAATGCACCGTACCAGATGAGGATGGACCAATTAGCTCAGTGGCTCCACTAGGACAACGAGAGTGGGAAAGGGCAGAGAAAAAAGTTCCTAATAACACATCAACAGACCCTGACGGCATCCCAATCATGCTAATAAAGAAACTAGGACAAAACTTTAGGCAAACATTAAGAGAGGCAGCGAGCAAAGCAATACTGGCTGGTGAACCTCCCACTGGGTGGAAACTAAGCAGGATGAGTATGCTGTTCTCGCAGCTCGCATTTGACGGGTCAAAGCGTCTGCTATCCAGCCAGTTAACGGTCGAACACTTGTGAACATTTAAACAAAAGTAACTTTGTTTACAGAAATTGGGTCACATTCTAACAAACATTCACAAGCACTCAGTCAGTCCCCTTAAAAAAGCGGTGCTGTTGCTCGGGCTTGTAGGGTGAGTCTGCCCGCCACCTGGCATTTTTTCTTCCGTCGACGACCGGTGCTTTCACTCTCTCCGTGAGCCGACAGAGAAGATGACAAATGACGCTCTGAAGGTCGTTTGCCGTGCCCGTTTAAAATGGCCATAACAAAACAAAAAGGGGTTTCAAGACGTGGAAGTATCCCCTAGTAGGGGCTTAAGCGTCCCCCCGACTTCCTTTGGCGGCACTTGAAAGGCAAACACGGCTCCTGGCCGCTCTCTTCGAGAGGGGACGGCACACTCCCCGTCTGGTGTCTGCTTGTCAGATGCCACAGTTTGTTGATGGCGAAAACAAGGGCACCACTTCCGATATCGGTCGGCAGAGTTTCCTTATTGCGCCATTCCTTGCAATATTCACCTCCACCTTGCGCCGTATTCCGTCCGCACTGGGCAGGCTTTGGGTGACAACGCCGATGGGCCAATCGTTGCGATTTGCTTCTTTGTCCCTGATGAGCACGACGTCGCCTTCTTTTATATCCTTTTTCCTCACTTGCCACTTTCGACGTTCCTGCAGAGTAGCGAGATACGTTGAACGCCAGCGTTTCCAGAATTGGTTAGCCATGTTCTGGACTTGATGCCAGTGTCGCTTGTACAGATTAGTCGTATCTATTTCTCCACTTGTTGGGGATGCGCATCCTTTCTTGTGTGCCAGTAGCGTCGCCAAAGTGAGGATGGTGGCATCTTCGGTGTCCGAGGAAATCGGAGTTATAGGTCTGGCATTCATGATGGCTGCGACTTCTGCTAAGAAGGTGGCAAGAGTGTCGTGAGTAAGCCGTTGATCGCATGATTGCATAAGCATGGAATCAAGAATACGGCGTGCCATACCAATCATCCTCTCCCATGCGCCGCCCATGTGGGACGCGTGTGGTGGATTGAATATCCACTTACAGCCGGTGTTCGCTAGGAACCTGACAAATTGTGAGCTATTGAAGCTCTCAGCACCAATTTCAAGTTCTCTGCATGCACCGACAAAATTCGTCCCGCCGTCAGAGCGTACGAGCTTCACAGGTCCTCTTACTGACATTAACAAGCAAAATAAATTCCCTAAGCAGCAAAACGAAAAGGAATTTAACAAGCTAATAACAACGATAAAAATATCCCCATATTTGAAAGCAGAATTAACTAGC